CAGGCTGGTTCTGTACAGGCTGGTTCTGTACAGGCTGGTTCTGTACAGGCTGGTTCTGTTCAGGCTGGTTCTGTTCAGGCTGCTAGACAAGCTGTCCGTGGTTTGTGTCTGCACATCAATTTGTTGAGTGACTTCAACAGCACAACAGTTTGGATCGTGTCACTCAAAGTTCACGAGCACAACGTTCGATTCAAACAACTTGTAAAGATCTAACGAGGGTCAAGTTTGTTCTTAAACAACAAGACTTTTGTTACAGAGGAAAGCTTCACTTAAAGTTTTCTAAATCCTGCACATGATTAGCACTTGTCTCTTGTGCAGTTAGTAGATTAATTCAGTTTTCAAGAACATTTTAATGAACAAAAAGTATTGAGCCTATTAAAGATATAAATATGTAGTAAAACGTTAACGATCTATTTTTATATTAGTCAAACATTTTCGTGTAGCAGGGTAGATTTGTGCAGATGGTTATGACAAAAATGCATTTTTAGTGTTAATCAAGAGTTAAACTGAGTCCATCTTAATCCTGTTGAATATAAAAGTGAATGTTTGAGATGAGGCACAGATTGTTGTAAAGAGCTTCGAGTGTCCATCAGATAGAAAGGTGAAATACAAGTTCAGTCCGTTTAATTTCACCTGAGCAGATTTCAAAGCTGAAGTCGTCAACTTAGTTTCTTATTAATTGCAATTTCCTCCGTGTGGCTTTTTATTACAAGCAACAAGGTCATTTGCAGATCACCAGTTCACTAGAGTTTTAAATGGTTGTAAAGATAATTTGACTGCAAGATGCATTTTATTTTCACTAAAGCTCTTTTGGAGCTGAGTTCAATTTTATTATAAGACACAGTTATTTATTTCTAAAATTATCCAAACTTTTAATGTAACAATTTATTTAAATTGACCTTTTCCTTGACATTAAATTACACCCAGCTGGTTTTAAACGACCAGTTTGATCTCCTGTATAACCAGTGTTTCTAAATGTTTTGTTCATATCTTGGATACTTTTATGCATTACAAATAAAAACGTCAGATCACGGCAAATGCTTAATGAAATGGTACAGAGGATTAGTTTCAGCAGTAAACATCTTACCTGCACTAGAACTTGACATCAGTTTGGAATATGCGGCAGAATTTCTCTCATTAAAATGAGCAAACAGCTTGTTGGAGGGAGACCAGTTCCAAACTGGTCATCTGAAAAGCACCCAAAAAATGTTGACGCTGCATCAAATGCACAACTGGTGCTGATGGCACTTTTACAGTCAGGGTATCAAACAAGTTGTTGGGGCCACTGCCCCACAACATTTACTTGTTTCCTGCTCCCACGTGTTAAATTGATGAATTGCCTCGTCAGCACCAGGTTCTTCAGAAGCTCGTTAACGACCCAGTGATTCACATTAGGTGAATCCTCCAAAACATCCACGACGGTGGCCCCAAGGGCCAGAGGTCAAGAAACTACAGAAAACTGGTTGCTCTGGTTTCTTACCAGTAAAACCATGGCACGCTTTGTTCTACGTGCGAGCGATCCAAAGGTATGTGGTTATTTTACTAACACAGTACAGAAACTGTTGAAGTGATCTCATGCGCTTCATTTCCCCATCAATTCCTTTAAGACACCGACACATTTAATGCGTCACGTAGTGATGCTACTGGATGTTTTCTTCCAAAAACCGAGGAGAACAAATGTTGAGATGGTGGTGGATCATGAGTGGAGTCCAGATGGAGGCCCGGTGAAGCTGTGGGGGTGTTTCTACCTGAAACCTGATCTGCACCGCCCTCTGTTTATTTCTGTGCATCTCAACGTGCACAGCGGAGCTGCAGAGGTGGGAGAGACTGCAACGTTTGGGGGGACTCTCCCCTTTAAGTGTGTGCGACACTTGTTCTGACACTGCCCGTCTCTTCCGTCCTCGTTCCTGTCCCTGTCTCTGTGTTATGTTAAGCAGCAGGCCTGTTCAATGTCCACCACCCGCTCCTCCTTAGGTTTCAATTCCAAACATGGTTATCCTTCTGGGGCTCTAGGACCCCTCCCTGATCCATTCCCGTCTTGTCCAGCTGTTGGCTGTCCAGTGCTGGCCGGTGGCTGAGGTGAACAGGCAAAATATCAGAACGCTCCGAAGGAAGAGAGGAGGCACGAAGCCAGAGGACCGAGGAAGGGACGCACCACGAGAGGAGGAGAGACTCATTCCAGCTGTGTTCTTGTAACAGCCGTGAGAACTTCTTCACATTGAAGAGTTTTCCACTGAACAGCAAGGGAACAAATATTTACCTGTGTTTGTGTTCACTGTCAGCGGTTTGATTTCACCTCGCTGTAAGCAAAGGAGCAGCTTTAGGTTCGAGTGGTCCTTATTTATTTTGTGCCTCCTTGCTGTTGGTCAGTTCTGCAGTTTGAAATATGAGTGCCGACAACTCGACCTTGTGGGACAACTTGTTCTTTGCCCCTCTCTGTGATGGCTGGAGCAACAACACAGAGGGGGCCCTCTACCAGCTGGGCAACACCGTCCTGTTCCTGGGCTACATGGGAGGCAGCGGGGCCTATGGGTGCCTCTTTATCTTCGGCTTCCTGTGTCCGGCCTTCCTGTGCCTCGCCCTGTGGGGCTGGCTGACCATGTGTGGCCTGGACGTGTTCACCTGGAACCTCCTGCTGCTGCTGACCTGCCTGCTCCAGATCTGCCACCTCCTCTACAGGCTGCACCAGGAGGGCATACGCAGTGAGGAGCTCTCCTCTCTCTACCAGATGGTCTACCAGCCACTGGGCGTGCCCGTCCAGGTGTTCAAGGACATCGCCAAGGCTTTTGAAGAGAAGGTGGTGGAGCTGAAGGCAGGACAGGTGTATGCTGTGGAGGGCAAGACGCCCATCGATCAGCTCTCCTTTTTGCTGGCTGGCAGGTGGGGAGTGTGCATGTGTGTGCATGTGTGTGTATGAGAGTGTCCATGCAGACCAATTCCAAAACTTGGTACATTGTGTAAAATGTGTTTAAAAACAGAATGCTCTAATTTGCAAACCTCATAAACTCAAATTATACTCGCAGAACAGAGTACTTTATGAAATGATTAAACTCAAACAACCTGCCCTGTTTTAAATTGTTTAATAGTATGAGCATCAACACAAGGAGAGCCACAAACTGTGCAACATCTGGCCATCAGAAGAAAAGATCTCTATCCAAACTTTCTAAAAGCAGAGCTGCATCGTCTTCAACATCCTGAAACTTACAGTAGAGAAATGCTGCAGAGTATTTTTGTGCCTGTGACTCATCAGTGTGAGTCCCTGTGCAGTCTGCCTGCTGCTTAGTTGATCTCCGTGCAGCAGGATGGAGGCTGACTTCACATTAAATTAATGTTGACCATGGTGCAGACAGCTCTGAGCAAACGGGCCACATCTGGAACAACACACACACCTGTACAGATGCATTATAAAAGTGGTGAGATGTTACATTATAGCTTAGTTTTATGTTTCTGTTTTATCTTTTCTCCACAAATTGACTGTGAAGGGGTGGACTTCTGTTTACCCTGACTTGTTCTTTCATAACGTTTGATTAGATGGACTATGAAGCAGACAGAAACTATGAGGGCACCACACCGTGCGTTCGTTCGTTTCATCTCCAAACTTTGACCACCGCACTGCAATTGTAACATTTTTACTAAAACTTCATTGATTTAAGAGTCACTGCAGGAATTTAATCCCATTAAGCCACAATGATTCTTTTTTCTTAAGGTTCAGTGAAGAACAAAGTAAAGATACTAAAATAGAGACATTTCATTCTTTGAAAGAATGCATGTCGTCTTTCATGCCAGAAATTTAAGATGAGATCAAACTTGTCCACCAAGGTGGAAATTTTCCTTCGGCTCTCAAACCATAACACAAGACACATTCATACAATGAAAATACCAACGATTTGTGCATAGAATAAAACACTTTGCATACCACAGGTAAATGTCATCGTTCGGTTTGTTTAAGAATGGTTATTGCACTCGGAATAAAGGACTTCTTTCTTCGTTGCCAGCAGGACCAGGAGTTCAAACTATCTGCTAAAATATTTCTTGCCGTCTTCCTTGTTCTGTCTGTGAACAGTTGAGACATAGCTTTTTGTGGTTTCCTCACTATTTTACCTGCCATTGAAACGATTCTTAAAAGTTTGTTTTTTAGTCTACAGCCAGACGACCACACCAGACAGGAAGGAGAAAAGTTAAAACACTCAACAGTTGTCTTGTACTCAAGCTCTAAAGTTTGCTGACTAACCCCAAGACCATCAATGTAATAGATTGCATTTGTCTCCATCCATCCATCATCTTTTACCCGCTTCTTCCATTTTGGGTCACGGGGGTCGCCGGTGCCCATGTCCAGCAATCACTGTGTGAGGGGCGGGGGACACCCTGGACGGGTCTCCAGTCCATCACAGGGACACATAGAGACTGCATTTGTCTTAATAAAGACAATTGGCACTGCTTCACGAGCTCGAGTCTGTTTATTGCAGGCTCGTAACATATACACTGAATATATGTCACATCCGTCTACTGTATGGCAAGTCCATGAGGACAATAATCATGACGATTTACAATACAACATTGTAAATAGGTCTCCCTTTTTTTTGGATAGCATATGTCCTCATTGAACTGGTACACATTTTGAATATTCTGTCACCTGAAAATTATGCTGCAATAAACGACATATCAGAATTGTAAACATCATTTCACATAAAATCATTTCATCATTTCACATCTTTTTTTTAAATCTATATATTTTAGGGCAGCGACGCCTACACTCTTCACAATCATAAGTCAAGAATTGTTCTTGGCCTGACCACTCGTCCTGATCTGGTGGTCAGTATAGGGCTGTTATTTTTGGTTGGTGACTCAGCGTCAGATGAAAACTGTGACTGTCGGTTGTTGAGCTGCACTTTCATGCTGAGCTCTTGGATCAGTTGTCGGTGTTAAAGGTGCTGGTGGACCTTTTGTGTTCCTCAAGTGTTGCTGGTTGTGATGTAGGGTCTGGCCCTTACGGTGCGGATTATGAAAGAACGATCCATCTCTGCAGGCTGGATGATGACCACTGGTTTCCAGAGTCCTGTGTTGTGCTGAAAACAAATATGGTCGCCTTGCTACAGCTTTGGTAGTGGTGTGGCGCTGTGATTGTAGTATTGCCCCTGGCGTTCTTGCTTTTCCTTTTAGCTTTTATCACCGTCTGACTTACTGTGCGAGGTTTTAGTTATCTCTGGTGACTGGAAGCTCTGACTGCAGACGTCTGCTCATCAGAAGCTGGGCTGGTGATTTGAAGTCATCAACTGGCGTGTTCCTGTGCTCTAAGAGATTAGACAGGTGGGGATCCACTCCCTGGGCACGGCCTTTATCCAGAACTGATTTGACTGTTCTCTCAGCAAGACCATTCTCTTTGGATACAAGGGGCTTGATGTGTGCACAAAGTCCTGTGTGTGTGCAAAGCTTTTGGACTCTTGAGAGCTGTACTGCGGCCCATTATCAGAAATAAACTTTTCTGGTATCCAGTGCCTGACAAATGTAGGTTTGAGTTTTGCAATGACGGCTCCTGCAGTGGTGGAGGTTAATCCTTCCAGCTCAAAATAACGGCTGTAATAGTCCACAACTATTATCTTTCCATGCCATGTGAACAGGTCTGATGCTACAAGGGGTTCTTTTGGATTTGACACGTCTCTTCTGACATATGGAGCAGTTCTCCACTGTGGAGGCGATTTCTTTGCCCATCCCAGGCCAGAAGAGGGCCTCCCTAGCTCTCTATTTACTTCTCTCAATCCCCATGTGTCCAATGTGGATTTTTTTCCAGCATGTTGCCTCTCAGGGTTGAAGGCACGACAATTTTGTCACCTTTAAAAGATGATACCATCATTACATTACGGAAAAGTCTGGTTCATCCCAAAGATCCAGTCCCCCGGCACAAACAGAGTAATGTTGTGTATGTTGTTCAGTGTCAGGAGGGTGATCAGTCTTACATCGGGGAAACTAAACAGCCACTGGCCAAAAGGATGGACCAGCACAGAAGATCAACATCATCAGGCCAGGACTCTGAGGTCTACACTCATCTCCAGGTCAGAGGTCACTCTTTCAGGGATGAAGATGTTCACATCCTGATGTAAAATACTAAAAACAGGAACATGTCTGTGTTGGTTTATGCCATGAACTTAGCAGATGTAAATCCATTTAATACTTTATTTAATTCATCTATTCATTCATTTAAAAGAGACAATATAAACAAAACAAATTAATAAAAATGAAAACATTGAATGAAAAGAGTGCAGAAAGAAGAAAAACATTCTTATATCTGCCCTTTATTCAAAAAAATATAAAATAACTTTAAACAATCACTTAAATTAATCACTTTAATATCCACTTTAAAGCTAGGAATAAAAAAAATGTTTTATGTTATCAGAATTTACTTCCAACTTTAAAACTTATCCAACATTAATAAAACTTACCTCAAGTTGTTTTTTTGGACATGCATGCATATATTTGTACAAACTGTACTTGAGAGGAGATTATTACAGCCTCATATAAAATCAATGATGATGATATCGGAACTGGATCGGTATTGGCCGATATCCAGGTTTAGGTATCGGGATCGGATTAAAAAATAAAAAATAAATAAATAAGTGGATTGGTGCATCTCTAGTTGTGCAGAACAGGGTTGATCACACTTTTCTGTTTTTATTGTCTCAAATCTGTCATGTACTTTTGTTACTACAGCATAGCCTGCATGGTTTCCTTTGTAATCATTGATGCATGATCCATCAACAAAATATGTGATGTCTGCTTCTTCTAATGGAGTAGACTTCAAATCTGGCCTCAGTTTGGTGTACCTGGCAGCTTCGGGTACACAGTCATGTGGGTTTCCTTCAAAACTAAAAGGAACAACATTGGCAGGATTTGTCGTGAAACATCGCTTTATGGTCACATCAGGATAAGTTAACAATGGTGTGCACTGTAGGCTCCTTGCAGGTGTTAACACAATTTTTTCTTGATATACTAGTTCAGTAATTTTGTGGTGTGTATAAATCACAATCAAATAACCCATTGTTATCACAGATGCTTTTTCACTGGCATAATTTAATACAGCTAGTCCTTGGTAGCAATCTTGCCAACCCTGGACAACATTATCAAGCTTTGTGCTGTAATAAGCGATCGGCTGTTTTCGATGTCCTAAACAAGTTTCTTGCATCAACACTGCTGATGCATACATGTTTTGTCGGTTTGCTACATACAGAAAAAATGGTTTTGTATAATCTGGTGTTGCTAAACATGGTGCAACTTGCATGTCATGTTTGATTGTTTCAAAAGCTATTTTAGCTTCGTTTGTCTACATTAAGGGTGATTTCAGTGATTGATTCCCTGTTTGTTCTATTTCGTATAGGCTTCGTCCTTTAAGGCTGTCACTGGTGGGTTTATCCAGTCATGCGAAGCATTGCACTGAAAAATTTAGTCCGTGCCCACCTGTTGTGTGGGCCCCACCCTGTCCGTATAGATTACGTTAAGAACGGGTAATCGGCTCCCATTTTTCTTCAGCAAGCTAATAGCACTGTCAGAAGAACGAAGAAGAGAAGTTGTCCAGCTTGACCTGGGGTCCCGCCACACCAACCTCCTGCCGTCCTGGAGAGTTCTCCTCCCCGAGGAGAAGCAGACGAGCAGCCTTGTTTCAAGGTAAGCGCCGAGGAATATTTTTCAGTGGCGGGTCGCTACACGCTGGACGACGCCATTGACCCTTTTTTCCTTTTTTTTCTCCCCTTTTTTCCTTTTAACGCAGACTCTCGGAGCGAATCGGATGGTTCCTCTGGGACAGGCGACGTCAGTAGCAGCCTCCGCTGCTCCCTCCCTCCTGGAGAGCATAGTGTCAGAACGAGGGGGGCTGAGTGAATGCTCCCCCC